CTTCTTTCAGCAAATAAAAACACATAAAGAGCTGAACACCCCTGTGAATTCTTTCCAATTCAGTGGCAGGTGCCTCCGATTTTCCACTGACATGCTGCAAATGAATGATTAAATGAAAGTAAATTCCACCGAGCTAAACAGTGGAAAGAGACACCAACACCACAGGGACTGAAAAAACAGACATGCTGCAACAATGAGAAGAGGTGACTGAGAGCTCTACTCAGTTAAAAAGACAGCACCTCTTTTTGTAATGGAACATTACCTTTTGCAAGGGCCAGGAAGTTATCACCTCAATTAAAACTGGTTTAGAAAAGAAAACAAAAGACTCAGGACATCATAGTATTTATCTGATATAGGTAACTTACTTAGTATCAAGGAATACCCAGAGAAATAAGCTATGGTTCTTAAATCACTAAGTTGTTTGACTTCAGAAGAAGAATGTAGTTAAGCTGGGGAATTAAAAAACAAATCTAACCCAGACTTAATTAAATAGACCCAAATCCAGCGATGGAATGAGCTGTGTTGTGAGATTTGACTTGTGTATACATTTTACCTTCATTTAGTTCATGAGATATGATTAGGCTTGCCCATAAATTTCTATATGAAAGCTCTCTACATAGAGCTTGGTTTGAATTCTAATCTATGGAATTCTTCCACCCCTTCAGCTCATTGAGAACAGCACACAGCAGAGACTCTGCTAAATGCTTGAGATACTAAATTACTAGACACCTTCTTTAGCATCACCACTTGTTATTGGTATGTTGCCTAGTTCCACGACTGAGTAACATGTAGCAAGAAAAAGTATCAAGTGTTGGAGCAAGTACCCAGCAGACACAACTGCCTCAACCAGACAAAAGAAAGAACATTTTTTTTCAACACAGCAGCAATGGCTGGGAAACCCACATGCCCTGTTCTCTGTCAGACCCAGGACCATCATGAATTTGCATACAGTTGAGTAAAAGATCTCTTGCTTACTTTGATGCATTTGACCATTGTCTTGCTTCTCTAATTCTGCCACTTTGTGAGTAACAAAACTCAATTGCAATCACGTTCTCTTCCAGCATTTTGAAATAAAAGTTCACATCATTTTCTTTCCCTAGTGAGTGTTTTGTAATATTTCCTCCTAAGAAGTTTTATAACCTAGAGACTTGTGCATAAAGGTGCCACTGTGCTTTAGAGCTCCACCCTGGGCAGCATTTTTTCCTTAGTCCTTGAATTTGATCCAAAGGGAACTTTCAGTACCACCTTGAAGCCAACAATGGTACACAAGAGCCAAGAGGGACTTCAATTTTTCCATCTAGAGAAACAAACATTTCTTTCCCTTCAACAAGCCAGACTTACCCTCAAAATAACTTTCAGAGGAATGTTTTCAAGAATATTCCCTCTATGGAGGAATCCAACCCATTGTGACTGACGGATATACGCACAAAGCCAGTGATGAAATGATGATACTGTTTACTCTGCTGAGAGTAGTCCCAGACATTTTAAGTTTTGTTTCTTCCTCAGTTGTGATAACCTATTGATTACTCCAACTTTCCTTTTTATAAATACCCTTCTGTTCTACTCCCATCTTTGCAACTTAGCACAACCTCAGTAGCCAATTCAACTCAAGACGAAGTCATCTTCAAAAATCTACTATAAAAGAGACGGATTTTAAAACTTCCATTTTTTCAGGCCTTAAAACCACTGTTCTCCAGATTAGTGGTTAAAACAATGATTTATTGCTCTCACATCATCAGATTTAAATGCAATGGTTGTTCTCTGCTAACAAATTAGTGTCAATGGTAGACTAGATTAAATCAAACTAAAATCTCTCCATTTTATTGCTTCTGCCATAAAATTAGTTGGCTTAAGACATCAGTCAGAGTGAGTAGTAGGAAGAAACAGCAGCTACTGCAACTGATTTTGTTATGGCTCAAGAACTAGAGCAGTTACTATCAAACATAATTTCATCTAAATACTAAAGCATAAAAGTCTGAGGATAGACATACACACTTCACTAGATCAAGGAGGAAGAAAAAATAAAAGCTACTATTGCCCACTATACAGCCCAGGAATATTTTCAGTTCTTATATAAAAGTTTTACGGTAGCAAGTAAGTGAATATTTGCAAAATAAGTTTGCTCAGCTGTCTTTTACTTCTGAACGAAGAGGCTTTTACTTTCATTCACGAGAACAGAATGAAATTATCTTCCAAAAATACTTCAATTCTAAAATTGCAAACAGTTTATCATCTTTATTTTAGCATTAGGCTGTTTCATTTTCTTGCCATCTTTTATTACCAAATTGCCAAAATTTATTTTCTACATCCACTTATATATGATTCAGTGATGAAGAGTCTGACAATTTTTTTCTTATACTTTTCCTATCAGTTTTTCAGTGCAGCAAACTAACTGTGCTCTTGCTTTGACTTGGAAAAATAACCACTGCTGAACAGATTTTGCTTGGATGTGTGTAAAGTGATGGACCTGCCAAGAAAACAATGCTAATTTGGACTATTACCAGTCAGGAATTACATACTGGTGTCACAACAGCTGTATCAATTCAATCATCAGATTGGTGCACAGTAGCAGTTAAAAAGTGAAAGGTGAGTGTTAAGAACTATTAAACAGAAGAGAGAACAAGCAACATGATTATGCTCTTGATAACACTTTTGCACCTGCATCTTGAATACCGCATACAGTTTTTATTCTCGCCTGCCTGAAAATGATTTAGAGAGGTACAACAGTAATCAAGACACAGAACAGCTGCTGTAAAAGCAAAAAATCAGCTGTGACTCTTCAGACAGGAAAAAGTTGACTGTGGGGAATACAAGAGAGGTTTACAAAATGAGTATGCAAGGGAAATGTGTAAGGACCATACAGCATGAAAATAGGCCAACAATTGGGAAGTTGAGAAAAACATTAACAATTCGAATGTTTTCACACAACATCTAGCTACATGTAGCTACAGATTTGCTCACTACACAATATTGCTCAGGATAAAATTTTACAAGGATTCAGGAGGAAGTTATCCAGATTTGCAGATAACTACTGACAGGTACCAAATGCACAAAAAACACATCTGGTTCAGGATGTCCTTGAGTGCAAGGGCTGGGAGAGTACTTCTGTTTGCATGTGGAAGGAAGCATCGTATGTAATTGCTTTGTTTCTATACTCTTTCCTAGCACCTGCTTTTGACATTAGAGGTCAAAATACTGATTAAATGGCCCTCAGGTCTCCCCCTGTGGTTATTTTTGTGTTCAAGTTGGTATAAACCCAGAACTTCATTCATACAAAAAAGCTGTAATACTTGCTGTTGTTTTTCTTAAGAAGAATAAAGGAAGTAAGAATTAATTTTTACCGCTATACAACCTTGATGTTCTTAAGTACAAGTCTGTTAAGTCACTACAGTTCTTCTGGGGAAAGAGATTCACTTCAACTCCAATCACGAAGTCCTTACTATGCAATTTCAATTATGCCTAAACTTATCACCCCAGAAATAAAACTATCACGAAGCACTGTGCCGGAATGGCATGATTTAGTCAGCTTGTTCAGCTGCTTCAGTACTTTGGTATGCAAGAATGTTTGTTACTTTATTTTCTTAAAAAGAAAAGAAATCTTAAAGGATTTTCGTTTATTTTGTACTTTCGTTGTTCTGTAAAACAGTAGGAGAAACAGAAGTAATTAAATGAGACGACTTAGTTTGCTGTAGCACTACAGCAAACAAATACACTGGAGGAAAAAGAGTTACTGCAGCTTAAATATAATCCTTAGGGAATGTTTCTATTTGCATTCAGACATTGCTAGAGGAATGTCACCATACATCTAAGAGGGTAAGCCGATTTCTTCGTACTCTATTTCTCTTAAAATGACATGTTAGAACCACACTTTCTGTTTGGGCAAATAAATCAAACCCATGATAATCTCTTCATGAACAATGTCAAGAGTTCTTGGCTTGGAGTCTCTGCCCAACACTTAAGTGTAAGAGGAGCCCAATTTAGCTAGCCTACACAGTTTCAATGAGCCACTCAAGCCACCGATTTACTGCTCTTGAACTGAGCTACTTATATATCTACACACTGGGCACTGCACAAGTTTGGATCTTTCTATACAAGATTTCTCCAAGTAAATAGTATTAATGTATCCATCTACAAATTCTATAGAATAAAATAAACTATACAGGAAGTATCTGATACTATTTCAGATATTCTAAAGCATTCACATTAGAAGTTCTATCTATTGGCAGAAACATTTAGATTCTCATACAGATCTAAGAACTTTCTTTTAAATATAGTATTTAGGATCACTGATTGATTTTGGGACACAGTTGATAGCTTTAGGATCAGTTCAACAGCTGATCAATTCTAAAATTTGCTAAAGCATTCTTGGCAACTCCTGTAGATGTTGGTAGAGTTAGAACCTCTAGAAAAGAAAAGAAAAAAAAAAAGGAAAGCTTATTCTCCCATTTAAAGTATCCACAACCCACAACTTTATGTACTAACACATCTATTTGGAGGTCAAAGAAATGGCCAGTAAAGCAATTAACAAGACATCTCAGCACAAAAAAATAGCTCCCCTTTCTCATCCTCCCAGCAGAACACAATATGCTTATCCTAAAGGAACAATTTGCCTGTGAATTTGTCCATTTTAAGACGTGCTAGTCACCTACTAACACAGATACATACATGCACATACATGCTCAACTTTTCTTTAATGCAAGGCAAGATCTGCATTTATCAGAATAGCAAGTAAATGCAGTAGCAGTAGAAATCAAACATACCCTGACAGGGAACTGGAGTGAAAACAAAGGGTTGGGGGAACACAACAGCAAATGAGAATTAGTGAGGTGAGACGAAGGGATTCACGCAGAGCTTCTAATGAGGATGAAGCAAAAACAGTAGAAACAAAACCTCAAAGAAAATAATGGTAATGATTTGCCAAGATACCCACCAGTCGCAAGACTATGCCATGTATTGAACACAGCACTAAATCTAAGAAAGCACAACTTTTTTAGTCACCATAGTTTGGCACAGGGATTTTATTGCTCGGATAAAATGACAGCATTAAAAAATGCTTTTGTTTGAATAAAATATATAGATTAATTAGTTTTCCATTGGCTACATCTAAATCACATTTAATATTAAATTAACTTGTATTAAAAGTCTGTACAAATTATGACGCAATGATACATAACCTTTACAGTACACTGAAACTATTAAAGTCATTCATAATTCCAGCAAACATGGCAAGACAAAAAGAATTTTGAACATACACATATACATACCCACCCCATATGAAGCAGGATAAGTCTAAAATGCAATAAAATTTCATATGATCAGAATGAAATTAAGTTTCTGTTATAGAAATGAATAGATCTAGTCTGTCAGTATTTACAATGCTATAGTCCATGCACAATTATCATATTATTGTTGATTCCTTTCTGGAAAATTATTCCCAAAGCCAATATACAAGTGACAATACAGTATCATAATGCAAGACTAAAAGTTTTACTGATATCGGTACTCCATAGTTTATGTTTTAACCTGGTACTTGACAGTTTTCTTACTACTTAGATTTTAAAAGCCCTAAAATTCATAAAACCTGCATCACAAAGCAGTTATTTCAACTAAAGTACAAGACCTCAACCTGATAGTATTAAAAGAGATTTTCAATACTGTAGAAGTCCAAGGGGAGTTTTCAACAAGTTTCTTATAAAAAAAGATAAATTAAAAGCATTCTAGAAATTTTAAAAGAATATTTGAATGGCAATACAATGCAAAAATAAATACAGAACTTCAAAACCTATTTTCTGTGATTAAGCAATATCTAAACATCACATCTACTAATAGAAGCAGGTTTGACAAACAGAAACTCAATTTACAAACACACCTAAGTTGACACGTCTTGCCATTACAAAGATTAGGTTTCTACAAAGAAGCAGTATTAAATATCTGTGTGCTCAGATTAAAATCCTCTTAACCTCCTAAGAAACATAAAAACAACAGTCCTGTATCTGCACATTTAAGAAAAAAAAACAAAAACGAGATGAACATCACAACTGCAGCACCATGAACTTTGGAACATCTGAAATAATTTCATAGCATCTGATCCTCAGCTTCCAGCACGAGGAGCCAAAATGCATCGCTGCATGACAAGGACAGAAGACAATATGAAATGATCCATAGAGTACAAACAAAGAAACAAACAGATGTAGTAATCCTGGAAGCCAAGAATGGCTATGCTGTCTAACGAACAGCTGCAGTTATTGACCCACTGTTTCGAACTTCTGAATGAACAGAAGAGGAAAAATTGTAGCTTCAATACTCATTGAAAAAAGGTAAGTCATTTTGTCATTTGCCTAGGCCTATCTACATTCACAGACTCTTGTCAAAGCCTTCACTTTACTGCTTTGTTTTGTATACATGGTATAAAGATAACATTGTGAGATTACCTCACGTGTGAATACTAAAGATCAAATCTTCATCTAGGCATAAAGGAACCAGGAGTTACTTTAGATACTTTCAGGCAGTCTCGCATGTTGTTCTGAACGAACATTACAAAATGATTTAGTTTAGCTTCTTCTCTGGGAGAAAGCAAGCTATCCCCACAGATGACTGAGATAAATATGCACACACAAACAGAAACCAATGAAAATATGTCATCATCGTAAAGCAGTCCATATTTGAAGACAGCTGCAACAATTGTAGTGTCTCATTCGATCTAGAGTAAAGCTTGTCTTACCCTAAAGTAGCTTTAAAGAAGAATTTGAATTACTGTGAAGCAAATAGTCACAACTAAGGTCTTAAATGCCTATCTTTAGTCCAGATAAAAACTACACACTAACATAAAACTGAACACTGTAGAAGTAAAAATAAGTAAATAAATGCACATTCTACATTAACCTCAAAGCAAAGAATTGTATTCTTATGGCCAAGATTCCACCCTGAGCTCAAACAAGTTATCATAATTAAAAGTCAGTGACAGACTATCAATCGCAATTAACTAACATGTCCATCTCCTCTCACAACAAAAAGAGCTGGTCCTTCTCCAGCTGAAGTTAAAAAGCCACAGAAAGTTAATAATAATGAAGAAAAGCTTTGTTATAAAGCCTCATGATGAAACATAATTAAATGTCTGAAGGAAAAAAGTTACTCTGTTCATACATTGTCTGCCTCCTCACAAGAGAATAAACAATTGCCTTTGTAAGAAACTTTCTCCTTTTCTCTCTACATTTTTCATTGAAAGTTGGTGCATTATTCTACAGATAATACATGAATGTCATTTGGTTACTAACTTGAACTGTGATTGAATTCTGAATTAATCCTTTTTAAACTATCTTACCGTTATGACAGGAGAGAAATGAGTGCATCCAGAAATTTGCTCCGATCTTCTGTTTTCAATTCAATTACTAAAACATGAAATACTTATTACAAGATTCAATAACAGAAAGATACTTCAGGTGTCATGCTTGACAAATATTAGTTCCAAGTATACTTATTTAAAATCTCATTGCATAAGTATCTCACTTTTCAAACACTCGATAAAGAATTCACCTCATAACATCATAACATCAATATCATGCCTGGTTTGGCTGCTACATATAAAAACCCTCAGATAACCTCAGAGATTAACTGAAGTGCACATTTTAAAATCATTACTGTGCAAAATTTACGTTGTCTCAAAAAGATTCAAACACCTCTGCTATGTAGCTTATACCTTTTGCACGATACCACTTACAAAGACTGCTGAACTAATACACAGTTTGTGTTTATACTAGACTCAGGAACAGTATATAATATAGATGCAAAAATTAAACACATATAAGACATACACAAATGAGTATATTGTCTATACTCATTATGCTTTATGGAGGCTGTGTAAACACTGACCCCTAAAGGACTATGTTGTGAGTGAAATAAGTGAAATAAAATACAGTATTACTCACTTGACATGTCAAAATGGTTATGTAAAGTCCTGGAGTTGGTACTTTCCGCAGCTTTCTCAAAAGCTCTTCCAAAAAAGCTAAAGATGAACAGAAACATGAATTAATCATATATTGGAAGGTACCACTCATTAAGAGACTAGATATTTCTTAAGTACTTCATTCAAGGAAAAGATACTTTCCCTCCCAATATGTATTTTCTGAAGTACATACAATTGCCTACAAGCACATGGCATTTACAGAGGATGCACGATGTCTTATGCACTGCATACAAGAATCAAATAAGATCATTCTTCCTAACTTAGTATTAACTATTAAATTAAAACTGAAGTCTTCTATCATTACAACTCAGCTCTTTTGTAAAATGTGACAGATACTGTGAAAAGTCAGGACTTAGCTATTAAGAGTTAACTAACTTCATTTTCACAGGAAAATAAATATTAAAATGAGTATTACAGAAAAGGACATTAACTAAAGCAGAAGCATGGAACTTTTCCTTGCTGAGAGCTAAAAAAAAAATCTAGATATTTTTTTGTCTCATGTATTCAACATACACTTCACTTGAATAAGTGAAAAACCTTAACATTGTAGGGTTTAAGAAATGAAGTCATAGGACATATAGAGAATTCCCTTTCTTTTTTAAGACAAATAAGTAGTTAAGATGGAGAAAAAGTGTACAAGGAAGCTAGAAAACACCTATATCCTCCCTCAAAGCATCTCACTTATACAATATGCAAAAGCACATTTTTAAGAAAGATACAGTTCAAGTCAATATATACAGCAAGTACAGGAAAGATTCAGTTGTTTCAGAGAAAGCAAAAGTCTATGGATAACCTTTAGTCAGAACTTTCAAACAAGATCCTTACTTCTTTTTATCAGAACTTTCTGTCTCTGGAGGAATCCCCACCATGATCACAGTTCCCTGTTCAACATCCATTGGTGCAGCCATTATCAGAGGCAGCAGTTTACAGCGCTTGTTTTTCGTCTGGAAGACAGAAAGTCCCTTTGTCAGACCAAACTCAGGAAAAAATTTAGTTTCAGCTTAATATGTGAGATAGTAATACTAATATTCACCTAGGGACACAACTATAATGCATTTGAACAGAAAGTGATTTCTTTGTCTAATCTCCTAGTTTCCTTTTTTCTTACTTTAAGGACAAACAGATGTCAATTCTCCAATCTTGCATTCCATTTGAGCACAGAGATGGTATGGAGAGACAAGATAAAATTACAGTGAAGAAAAAAAACTCTTTAAACACCACCACCATCTTAAAAACTTGGGCAGGGTGTAATTTTTAGCAATAGCTGTTTTATATTGAAATTAGAATTTTCATTGAAATTACTCTAGAAATCATTATCCCTGCCCTATTATTTTTTTTTTTTATATCACCAAGCTGTAACTTTTAACAAATTTTGTAATTTAAGTAAATCCAAAAATACTTATGAAGATGTTGACATTTTTAGATGCTTTAGAAGTAGAAGTTTGTTTAAAGTGTTCTGTTCTCAAGACAGATGTTTCACAGTAAGTTTTAAATGCTGTTCTGCTCCTAGCAGTGGACTAGTTTACTCAGCATGTCAAACGCCCAAAACAAGGACAGGCAGATGCAATGTGACAAAGCTGGACCACCGTAAGTTTCATTTAGAAATTAGTAAATGCTCACTGTGAAGAGAGGTTATTAGAACTTTGTTCTTTAAAATATAATTTATGTCACTAATAGTTTAGAAGATAGATGCAATTTGATTTCAATTACATTAGCTGTCAAGACCAGTTTTTATATGAACACAAATCTTTAGATGAAAATTACCAGTCCTGCAATGTTGCTTTTGTGTGTGTGGCAGGCTAACTTTTTGAAGTACATGTTTTGTGATAACGTCCCTTCAAAATTACAAAATTACATGAAAAATTTATATTTCAAGCTTATTAGTATTGAAAGCTTTCTACTGTTAGGAAGTTTTCCAGGCAGATATCTTTCCTAGAACAGCATTCAAAAAGATGCTAAAATTATGCAGTAAAACTTTCAATTAAGATTTTATGAAAACATTTTTAATAAGTCAACTGCACGTATCCAACAGAACAATAACCATTACATAGGCCAAAAGTTGGAAGCTTCCGATTTACTTACAGAGCAAACAAAAGATTTGAGCAAGTATTTACTGAGCAGGCACAGAGACACTGGTTTGGAAAACAGCCTCACATCTGGTGTTCCCTAAAAAAAGGAATTACTTCAGTTACAATGCAAGATGATTCTTCCCCTTATTCATTTAATAGCTACTGACATGTCTAGAAGTTTTGTGTTGCTCAAAGAACACTAACAAAAATCATTACAATCTAGGAGTTTGACATCACGCATCGGAGTTTGATATCAAGCCCTCTCCTTTGAGAGAACAGATACTTCCGTTGTGAATTTCAGAGTATATAATATTGAGCCAGCAGAGTACAGTACAGTACAGATAAATGGATTCTTTATGAATTTCTGATCAAGTCATTTATATTGGGCCAAGCAGTTCGGAAAACAGTTGTTTAAAAATGTGACAGCCAAACACAACACTCAAATATGAGACTGCTAAAAAAAATAGAATTCTGACCTCCATGAGCGAGCAGTAGAGAAAAGGCCCTTGAGAAATTACGAGGTTGGTGCAAATACAGCTTGCTACTGTCTGCTGAATGGCTCGTAACTGCTTTTTGGCTAGGTCCAGTCCTTGGTGCAGTTTGTCCAGGTTACCCCTGCAACAGAGGAAAGTAAAATAAACACTTTATATATAGATGCAGCTTTTCCACAAATCAGTGAGACACCTTTAAACACTATCCATGCGGATATTTTCTTCATTTTTTCTTTAGTGAGGCATCAATGCATCTGTTAAGATATTTAACCCACATCCTCTAAACAAAATTAGAGGAGAATGAAGATACATTTTTAGTACCTGGAGAGACTGTCCAAAGCTTTAATGAAGTTAGTTGTTTCGGGCCCTTCTTTCTCTATACTCTCCATGAGAGAAGCTGTTGCATAAACTATATCACTTGCTAAGAACTTGTTCTTAAAGCCAAAGTGAATGCTGAAGGTCTGAACTCTTAAATCCTTCATTCTGCAAAACGACAAAGCCAGCAAACATTATTAGCAACATTAGTAACATTGATCAGCTACCTCCTCAGTATGCTGACCTTAAGAACATGAAGACAAATCGTATCTCAGCATTCACAACAAGCTTATTACTTTGTCAATCTAAACCCCTGTCTTCTAAAAGATGCTACATCGTCTTCATATAAAATCACTTAAACTTAGTTGAAAAGTATTTTCAGATAAAACATTTGTATTTAAAACAATTTACCCAAACTTGCTTGCAGATTCTTCAATCATTTCCTTAAGATTTTCTTTCAAAGAAATGTCCATGGAATTAAACTTCTGTTTCACTTGCTTCAAAGGCAAACTAAAAACAGAAGGAAAAAATACATTGTTAGGTAAGCCAAAAGAAACAGATATATATCCTGCCTACTCTTCATCAGATGTTAATATCAGATACTTTAACAAGTGAAGCCTGACTAAGCTTGTTTGCATTCTTTTTTCTTTAGTCATTAAGGAACAGATGTGAGAAAGCCTGTTACAAATCCACTACTCAGTAAAGGCATATAGCTGAAGTATTCCTCATACAGCAACACCCAAATTGCACAATTCAACTTGAAGAGACTCCACAACCTACTGAGAGCCCCACAATCATATTTAAAAACCAACACATTGAGTACTTGTAAACTTAAAGATCTTTGCTATAGTCTGAATATTTGTATATAATTCAGTGAAAAATGATCCATTAATTAAGAACCAGATTTTTAAAACTCACCCCATGTCAGCCAAGAACTCCTGTAGCCTCTTCTGCCCTTGTACAGACCAAAGCTTAAGGTTAGCAGAGGTATATGAAGTATTACAGAGACTTTCATACAGAGACCAGTGCTGATAAAGTGCCAGGCGGAGACTTAACAGGAATTATAGGAAATAATTGTAAACATAAATGTCCTTTAAAGTTACAAATAGTTACCAAACTCCCTAACTGGTAGTTGTCTTGAATTATCCTTATTTATTGTATATACCCATACTCCATAAGAAAGTTAAAAGATGTAGGTGTGCATGAAACCCCAAGACAAGGGACACTGACACATAACTAAATCTGAAGGGTTAAGATGAAGTAAAGCCACAGGTTTCTCTTTCAATATCTCATATGTTCAACAAGCCATTCAAATTTCCATTTCTTTTAATTCTGTTGTGAGTAGCAGAGAAGCTTGGGATTTTTTTTTCCTAGATAAAAACTCATCTGGGGTTCATCAAATGGCTAGAGTTCGTTTTTCCAGATCTTAGGCAAGGATACTCATATTCAAATGCTATTCGCATGCAGTCAATTGACAGAGAATTTTCTTCATCCTCATTGCGGTGGTTATGGCGAGACACGTGACGCTGCAGAATTCCAATATCAGTCACATACTTCATTCTTTAACAAAAACAAATTTGTCACTTCAGTATCTTCCTGTGTGTTTTTCTACTTGATTATGACAACATAAAAATGCTTCCTAGAGATTACACATTGGCCAACCAGCAGCAAAAAAACTGCAGATACATCTTAGTAAAAACAATAAAATTACTCATTAATGTTCTTTCAATATTCAGCCATACACCCAGGCAATTAAAATTAAAATAAAACCAGCCCAAAGAGACAAACAGACCAGTGAAATCAGTTACTTATTACATTTATGTCTTTAGAGAGATCAGTATATAAGTAACAATAGAAAACCAGGATTAAGATCTACATGTATACTATGAGAATTCTGCTGGTATCTAGTATGAAATAAAAGAGGGGTGAATGAAAAAACTTGAAACTTCTCAAGCAAAATTAGAAAGGAAGCTGGAATGTACATTTTTTCCTCTCTAATAAAATGATTGTATAAATTCTTGACTATATCAAGCTCATATTTAAGTAAGCTACTACTAAACACCATTTCTTCCAATATAAGAAATGATTGTTTTATAATTTTGTGAATAGTTTAAAAACTCTAAATATTAGGAAAAGAAAACACAGTTTTTCTAATGCATTTCCTGTTTTTAAAAGATATCAGATCACATGTAATCATTAAGATATTTAATACCCTTGTTTATTAATTACCATGTGTAATATTAAATTCCCATGTTTCCTGATCATTATTAATTGCTTTCCGGTACTCAAAAAAAAATAAAAAGAAAAAAGCTTTCTTACTGAGTGATTTTGTCTTGGACCCATTGATCTGTTAGGCCAACAATAGCCCACCTAAAATTAGGGGTTGTAGGGAGAAAAAAAAGTTAAAAAAATATTACAGTAATATATATATATATATACACACACATATATACACATACATATACACATATACATTATACCTAAATCTGTTAGTATGTAACAGAACAGGTCAGGAGAACCATTCACCAACTCCACACAGAAGTTAGTAACAAAGTTATGTATATTTCTTCTTTAACAGACATACACATAGTAGTTTCATCCTCTTGTTCACACCCAACCTGTGTTGGTTGCTTGTAATTAATTTATGCAGGTTTGTCCTCCAATTTATGACATACACTCACTGAGGAAATAAACTGGAAGCTCATACTGAAAGCAAATAGTTTGGGGAAAACTTGCCTCTTTTTACTGTTAAACAAAGCTAGTAGTCTCTATAAAAATGGAAATGGCAACCTACCACAACATGTCATTCAAGTCTTTAGACATCATCCATGCCAGATCAAACATCACCATTGCAGACTACACAAAAAGAAAGCAAAAAGAGAGGATAGATGAACACAAAGCTCGCACTTCATTATGCAAATAGAAAACCGTTAAATTTGCCAAGTAGCAGCATTCTACTAAAGAAAGTCACACTCAAGTGTGGTAACCTGCCGCTGTCTTACTTTAAGATACTAAGCAGAGTGAGTAATATCTTATATAGCTCTGTAAATCTTCATTCTGTATAAAGCAACACTTTAAATATAAAAGTAATCAGACAAGAGGTTAGATGACAGAAAGAGCAGTTTGGTGTCCTATTTCATATGTTTGAGATATCCTGACACTTTGAAAACTCAGAAAGAAAAACAAGTTCCCCCCAATCTTTAAGTCTTTTTGCAAAAATTATTTTGTTTATGGATAGATACTTTTATCAAGATTAAAATTAAAAAAAGACACTATCAACTTTTTTAAAAATACATATCAGCATTAAAAATATCAAACAAAAACATTAATAATTCTGGTTTACCTCTTCTTCTCCACTATTAACATTGTATTGTCAACTGTGTCAGAATGGCTAATCTCCCAATCAACAAAGTACTTCAAAACAAGTACTGTTTCTAAGACATATCTAATTTATTAATAGTAAAACTGGATGCACACAACCAGAAAACATTAAACTGCTAAGTCAGACTACTTGCAAATATATGACATATCTTATCAAACACAGTACTACTACTTATAAATGGTATTAGATAATTCTAACATTGGTTATTATCCAATTACCTTTATGGTAGCACCTTGTGTTTTTATGGCAAATGAAACATTTATACTTACTGAGGTCCCATGGTATTCATACTGTTCGTAATCAAAAAGAATTTCACGTCTAAAAGAAGAAGAAAAAACATTCAACCAAGTAGCATCCAATTCAAAGTATAAAATATTATTTCTCAATTCCATGTTTAATTTCATTTTAGCACTGAGAAAAAAAAAAAATTGGGTTAAATGTTTTTTTTTCTGCAAGGCAATTTTCTAACTTGAAGAAAACTTTCTAACTTTCTAAATTTTTCTAACAATGTGGAAGCCACACTGAACTGTAGAAGAAGTAAAAAAAGAAGAGCTTGTTAAACCCTTGATTTCTCATACTCCATTTTATCACTTGTTCCTGTTCATTCCAAATGAAAAGACTGGAATTACAAAGAAAGATATCTGTACAAATTTTACCCCAAGATAGATGCGATAATACTATGATTACTTAATAGTGAAGCACCGAACCTCTTGCTACTCAATTTATAAATGATTATTCACAATTATTATCTGTTTAAAAGTTTTATTTTTAATATATTTATTATCTCCTTCCATTTGCTGAAGAAAATTAGAACTAAATTAGAACTAAATTAGAACTAGAACTAAAGCATCTTGCAGATCAGGCACCATAGTATCAATATTTATATCAAAGAAAAAGAAAAAAATATATGCAACATGAAAAAAGTCAAACACACCTGCGTGCCTCCCATTCTCTTCTTTGGCGTCTTTTCATCGTTCTCTCAATTACCTCCTGCAAATTAAGTTAGATGTTAAAAGGCTAGAAAAAAAAAATACTAAGTTAGCAACTTTCCAGGTAGATTAATTACTAAATCCTAACTAACAAGACCTATAAGAATTATTCCTATTAATGATATCTAGCAGGGAAAGGCTCAGTAAACAGCATTTTCAATACTAACGCTGCATCCTACCAGTTTCTAACATAAAAATGACACTGATAAAAAATAAAAATGAAATAATTAATCAAACTCAGAATAAAGTCACTCGCTGTATATTTAAGCTCTATAAACAGCAGCAGCATCCTGAAAAAAATCCAAGTATCTTTCTGAAATACTTAATAGATTCAAACGTATTTATGGATTTGACTTCAGTTTTCTGGCACTTGTTTTTTCTTATTAAATACTTTTTCTAGATGAGTAGGAAAGATATACTATGTTAATAGAAAAATATTAAGATATCTATACATTTTGAGGATCTCTTTACATTTAATGGACTCAATGTTGCTAGTCTCATGCCTTTGCTACTTAGAATGATATAAATTGAAAATATGCTACAAACAACACATAACAAATTTATACATAAATATACTTCTGTTAATTTATTTCTAAAAGGACAAACATAATATATTTCTAAATTATTTGTGATCTGTCTTCTAAAATGATTATTTTAAATTAAATAAATTAAATAAATAAATTAAACAAACAAATAGCTAGATAGGTTGTTTTGCTAGACTAAGAAGCCCAGAGCACGTAATCAGAGATAGATTACTTCAGTTTACCAATTACACAAAGACAGTATTATGTATAAACAGCTTCAAGTTCAGGTTAGGTTTGTTTTTATAAGGAGAAAATATTTCTGTGCAGTTTAGATAAACATTCTAAGCAAGTGAAACTCTACTAGTCATAATAGATTACCTTTTAATCTTACACAATTTTTTAAGTTTTAAAAATCAAAAGTCATGATTTAACCTCCTGTAAGTACATGTAATAACTTATTTTATTTCTTTTCAAAATGAAGCAGAAGAAACGAACCTCTTCAAAACGTCTACGCTTATCTGAAGGTTCTGACCCATCACTTTCAGCCTCTGACTCCTCTTCTTCTTCCTCTTCATCTCTGAAGATATCATCATAAGCAGGAACATCAAGATCATCATCTGGTTTAACTAACAGCTTAATCTAGCAAGCAAAAAAAAAGTGTTTTAAAGTAAAGTACCTTATTCAGTGATTAGAAAATATTTCAAATGACAAATGGGAAAGCTTCAGATACTTAAGAAGAGAAACTAAAAATCTATTTTGGCTGTTATTCATTGTTTGTATTAAAAAACAGTATTTGTGTTTTATCAAGACCATGTTTATTTATGCCTCATAGGAGTAAGATCGGTATTCTTGATCAGTATGATTATAGTTAGAGCATTACTGAATTATTTGTGGTTGGTTAAAGCCATGCCTTCAGATAATTTGAGCTCAGATTGCTCAGATTGTAGCTGTTGCTAGATACTGAGAAATAATAAATGTTACACTGTAGAGAATGCTTATCTTCCAAATTCTAGCAGTTTGTTTTGTAGCAGTAGGTTTAAGTTGATGTTTATTGCTGACAGCTATCATTCTACTTACAGTTTTCTGTAACTGAAGACAGTATTTTTTTTCTGATAGTGAACATTACTACTGGACATATCCATTAGCAGTGCATCCTGACCTACTGCTAGCACTGTAAAAGGTGCTGCAAAACACAGGGAAGCGTTCAGACACCCACACACAACAGGAAACATGCCAACAGTTTTATTACGCAAGCAGTAAAACAAGAACAGTTTACCTGTGTCTCATTGTAAACATTCACAACATTGATAGGTCTGTGGCTGTCGCAAACGAAAAAAAAAGTGTCTTCTTCAGGCTGCAAGATCTCCAACAGGTCAACATTGGCACCACAATTAATAAGAACAAAATATTTGAACTGCAAACAGAAGTAACAAAAAAAAAGAAAAAAACTTTTCATTTCAATTAGCAGTAAACAGAAGACCGAAAATACCTTTACAAAACTCCAAAGCACTCATCATTGCCAAAACCAATACTTACTCCCTGTTATTTGATGCCTCAGAGAACACAAGAAAGTGTAAGGCAACATACCAAGTTTATGATGGGATGTTGGACACCCAATCCCACCACTTCTCACATCTCAAAATGTGTGCACACAAGTTGAATCAACCAGTAACGAGTTGATGTTAAAGACTTGACAAATTTGTTACTGGTATATTAAAATTTAACCGCTGTTTTGAGGCAACAAATAATACTGTTACTGATGTTCTAAGTTGGGGAAAGGGAGGAAGTACACCTATATCAGATGAGCTGCAAACTTTTTTTTTTTATTTATTTTTTTTTTTTTTTACCTGATCTTTATGCTCAAGAAAGGCAGTTTCAAGTTCTTGCCATCCAGACACTGGGACTAGCGTATATTGCACATGGTCACATTGAAATAAAGCCTGACATGGAGGAAAGAAAAAAATAAAAAAAAAAATAGCTGTTAGAAAATGTGGTTTCCCCACCATACCTACAATGCTCAGCTATACTAGAATTCTTTCTCATATAAGTGTTTGTCTTGAAAATTTATGAAACAAATCTACACAAACTTCAGGAGTATGATTTATGAGGTGCCCACGTATTTAGTGTGCCCATGAATCATAATTCATGAAGAAAATACTTCACAAAATTAGTTTCAACATTCACCCTTTTCCCAGTTCAAACCTACTGAACGGATCCCAGTATTGTTTTTTTCTTTCACCATTAGTCTATGGAGATAACGAACAAAGACTTACTTGGAGTATTTTACACGCACAAAGTGCATCAACATCTGAAGCCACAAGAAGAAGAACACGCTGCAAAAATAATAGAAGAATAGTATTAACAATATAGGTGTCAAATCTAATGTGGTAGCATATGAAACAGTCACTGTAAGAACAGAAAGAAAGAAATTTAAGGAGAGATCATTATAAGCTTAAAACAGGATTAATTCTCAACAAGCATTACATGCAAAATTAATTGCTTGGATCCCTATAAACGTAAACAGCTTCACTTTAAAGCAGTGAAATTACACCTAAAATATGTCAGCTGCTTTGTGGAAATGTACTTTTTCAGGTTCCTGTGAACAGCGCATAATTTTGAAGGTTCAGAGCTGCTCAGCCCTGCAACCACTTTCTTTACACACCTAGAGTAGCGTAAGTTTTAGCAAGTGATCTAAAACAGCTTTGATTAAAGAAAGCCTGTAGGAAATCAGGACCAAAACAAAGCCTGAAATAGCCTTGATTTAGGCTGAACAACTGATCTCCTGTTTGGGTTTTTGGCGATTTTTGTTTACAGCTGGGAAGGTGAGAGAAATACTTTCACTTGCACAATCTTCACAGGCTGAGCACGAGAAGACTGACCAATAGAAGCTTTACCTTGAGGATACAGACCCATGGGGGAGAAAAACAAACAGAAAAAAAGGCAAACTGAGGGTAAAAGATGAGAAGAGGCCAACAGCTTTAACAAATACTTCCCGGTAAGCCCCAAAGACAACACGAACGCAAGATTTAGGGTCCGGACAAGCAGCATCACAACTGTTAACGAGACATACGAGCAAACAAAAGCAGAGGCAGGGACATCTCGGCTACGCGACAGCCGGACACGAACACCCACAGCGCCCAGCCCAACCCCGAAGCCCTCCCAGAGCCTCAGGGGGCCCGGAGCGAGCCCGGGGGCGCCTCAGGGGGCTCCTCAGGGGGCTCCTCAGCCCGAGCCGCCCCGCTCCGTGAGGCGCCGGGCGCCGCCACGGGGAGCCCTTGAGGGGGCTGCCGCCGCCTGGAAGCCCCCGAGGGCCGCACCTGGCTGACGATGCGCTCGTAGAAGTCCCGGCGGCAGTCGGACACGAACATGGCGGCGGCAGGGGAACGGCGGCAGCCGCGGGCCGCCCCCACTCAAAGTGGGCGCCAAAGCAGCGCCGCTCCCCCGTTGGGCTTCCCGCCTCGGCTGGCTGGCCAATAGGAAAGCAGGGATCTCTCCTTCTCAGCGCGGATTGGGCGAGGCGTCCGAGCCGTTTGCGTTGCTCGCCAATGAGATCGGAGAAAAAGCGTCGCGACGTGCGCAGCTGGCCAATGATAGAAGGGGGTCAGCCGGAAGTACCTGTGCCACTTTTAGGGTCGCCGCTGCCGCCATCTTTGTTGAGGGCAACATTCTCGCCTTGCCGTTAAAACCACCCCGACAAAACCCCGAGCGCGTCCTCCTCGCCGCTCCGCACCGAGAGGGAGCCGGGAGGCCAGAACAAGCCCCCCTGCAGCCACCTCAGAGGCTGAGCCACTCTCCCTATCCTCCCCGCCTTCCGCCCTTACCCAAGATGGCCGCGGCCAGGGGGCTGCCCGCGGGGGCGGGGAGCCGCGCCCCGTCCGGCGGCTGAGCGGCCCCGCCCGCAGCGCCGCCGGGCCCCGCGCCGCCGCCATGGTGAGGCCCGGGCCGGGGAGGGGCGGGGGCTGGGGGGAGCGGGGGGGGGGGGCACGTCCCCTGAGGGGATGTTGCGGGGGGCTCGGAGGGCCGGGGTCCGCGCTGACGCGGCGGCTGCGTGTGCTTGTCCCCGCAGTTCTCCTTCAACATGTTCGACCACCCGATCCCCCGCGTGTTCCAGAACCGCTTCTCCACGCAGTACCGCTGCTTCTCCGTGTCCATGCTGGCCGGGCCGAATGACAGGTCAGATGTGGAGAAAGGCGGGAAGAGTATGTGCCTGTTTTCTTCTGACTACTGCAGGGGCTGGCGGAGCGGGCCCGGGGCGCTGCTCCCGGCGGGGGGGAGCCGGGGGGCGAGGAGGAGGAGGAGGAGGAGGAGGAGGAGGAAGGCTCGGCTCGGCTCGGCTTTCCCGGCCCGCTCGTGATACAGCTTACCGAGGAGCGGGTCCTGGCCTGTGAGCGTTAGCAGGCACTTCTCTGTTTGTTGTCAAAGTCTCTTGGCCAATTCCTGGCCCCGCGGTGAGCTGTGGGAGCTCACACCTTAAAGTCTCGTTGTCCCCCCCTCGTTGCAGCTCTCCGAGCTGGCACAAAGCAAATAGATCGGCCCGCTGGGTTTCAGGCTGTCGGGATAATGCGATGTTGTTCAGAGCTGGCATTCTTCAATCGATTATATGAGCAGAGACAATTATCTCTAGGAAGCACTTCCTTCAGTACCACAGCTTGTAAAACCCTGCCTTCTCTTACTTGTGATTAAATTCTAAAATCTCCAGGCTAGCAGATACACTCGTGACTGATTCTGCTGGAATCTCTGGCTCAAAAGAGCTTACGGGAGTTTTTAGAACAAATGTAACCCTAGGTGATGGTAGTAATAAAATAGTATGTAAGCTTATCTTTATACAGCTGTAATTTTCCTAATTTTACTTTCATTTTCATTTCTGCAGTAATTATGCCACCTTCTGCTCTGGATCAACTCAGTAAGTGAATATTTTGTTCTGGAATAACGCTGTTAGAAATATGAGTAAAAGCATAAGCAAATACCACAGTTGTTTAGTTACCTATTTGAATCCAATCTAAATAGAGATTATAAGACTAAGTTACTCAAAAAATGTATTTTGGAGGAATTTTATCTTTCAGAATTAAAGGAGTGGAGGAAGGCTGTCTGAGTACAGACAACTGAAGCATCAGGCTGCCTGAGACGTGAATCAATACTTATTAAGTATTAATGGCATACTCAATATAATAATTAGTCCAGTGGATTCTTAACCTCAATCTGCTTTGCTTGGATGCTGCTGTCTGAAACAAAATTCTGTCTTCAAAAAACAAAAAGTGAAAAATGAACTTTGAAAGTAGGGTTAATGGTGTTTACTTGGCTCTTTAACTAAGGCTTTTTTCCCCCTCTGAGTTTTAGTATTAACTCACTTCTCACAGTGATTCTAATAAGTCAGGATCTATTCTTCAAATAGTCAGGGATGTTAGTACAGGTAGGAACTAACCAGTAACACCACAAGGGCATAGCAATAATAGATTCCCGTGCAAATACCCATCTCTGAGCTTAGGAAAACGTTGGAGAGACACTTAAAGCTTGAAGTGCAATGACAATACAGTATTCAGGTATCTCCAAAAGTACAAATCCAGGAGAGAATGAAGTTGGAATAATGGTGGTGTGGGGGGGAAATCCTCTTTTCCTATGGCCCGTACTTTTGCTAGTGTTCCATCTCTGAAAACTTAAGAAATGTGCTAATAGCTTTAAGCAAATATTTTTTCTCCTCTCTTGCCAGGCCGACTTAATATTACTTACCCGATGCTATTTAAGCTGACGAATAAAAATTCAGACCGAATGACACACTGTGGAGTGCTCGAGTTTGTGGCTGATGAGGGCATATGTTACCTGCCACACTGGGTGAGTTGTCTTCTGCTGAACTGTTGAAACCTGAAGAGCAGGATTAATGAGTTGCCAGTGTAACATTAAAGAGGCATAATTTTCTTGAAATTGCATGTCTTTGCTAGTAATGTCCATAAAGCGGCTTTCAGTCACAGCTCAGGTTTCCCTCAGTGGGAGTTTAACCAAGTATGCAAAGTAGGTTGCTATTTAAGCTCCACCTGACTGTTTTCTTCCTGAAATTAAGACTTCGTAAACTGGTGCATTTCAGGGAAGATGGTGGCCCTGGCAAATATAAGTAAAGAGAATATATAGGGTTTTTTCCAAACTAAAATAACAAATAAATATAAAGGAAATAGAAATAAAGACATCAGTAGTGTTAATGTGCTGGTTTATGTCTTTGTTTTTATTCTTGCAGATGATGCAGAACTTGCTGCTGGAAGAGGGAGGCCTGGTACAAGTGGAGAGTGTTAATCTTCAAGTTGCTACTTACTCGAAATTTCAGCCACAGAGTCCTGATTTTCTTGACATCACCAACCCCAAAGCTGTGTATCCTTTCTATTCAACAGTGGAGCAGAGAACAGAGGTTTTCTCCCAAACTGTAATGATGCAGAGCTAGCTTTTCAGACATGGCTCGTGCTTTTCCAGAAATAGGTAACTACTACTGCTCTTTCTGAAAACAAAAATCGGGGAGAGCTTATGTTGCAGACTGCCGGCACAAAGCATAGCCTGGAGTGTGAAGAAACGTAAATCTCGGCTGAAAGTCCAAAGAGTTTAAGCGGCTGTTAGACCATGTCCAGAAGGACTTGTACGCCTTGATGTTTATTAAAAGGCTGTCTGCGTGCTGATGACTTTTAAGCCATGTTTGAGAGACCACGAATCAGAGTTCTGTAACATAGTAACTTGAAAGCTTTGACATATCACTGAAAACAAACAATTCATCTTAACATACTCCAAAGATTAGAAAATGCATTGAGAAACTTTGCTTGTCTAACTACTGGGGACGTTATTGCCATCAACTACAATGAGAAGGTATAACATACAACTCTGTTCCACTTAGATTTCCTTTAGATAACACCAATTTGATGAAACAAATTCTGTCCAATGTAAAGTACTTTGTATTTCAGTAGATTGTGACCACTTTAAAATCTATTCACAACATGTAGTCATAGTTGAGTATTAGTAGGTAAAGCTGCTGGCAGCACACGCACATTTGATCATTTGGGAGACTAAGCACAGTTGTTGAATGTTGGTGCTTGACTCATCAGCATGGAGCTGTGCAATATTGTTGACAAGTGATCCCAGACAGTGGATTTCACAATCAGTTTCCCATTGGAGAAAAAAGGGGGTCAGTTATGCCCTCTTCAGAGCTGATGTTTAACTACTGGTTTTTGGTTCATGAGTGGAAAAAAAATATAATGCTGTTGAAATTCTTAAAAATCATGGGACAGAAATTAGCCTGAATCCAAAATTTAACTTCAAAAATGCATATTAAGGTACAGTAAGAGTTCAGGAAGAGATAGGTTCTCTAGCTCCAACAAAATAGCAATCATACTTAAATTTAAATCTTTGTTGTTGTATTCTTTTAGAGGCATTTTTTTTCTGCAGAGAAAGTCTTAGCATTAGTTTTCTTATATGTAAGTTGAACTCCTTTGTTCATCTAAAAATGTGCAATCTTAAAATATTTATCATAATTGTTTCAGATCTACGAGCTTCGGGTAATGGAGACCAAACCAGATAAGGCTGTGTCCATCATAGAATGTGATATGAATGTAAGTTAAAACTGTTGCGGGAAGTCTGGTTTTACTGTGTCATCCCCAAAGGAGAGGGCATCTTGTTCACTGATAGCACTGCACACCAAACATGTCTGGTGCTGCAGGAAAGGCAGAATCAGATGGGATAGGGAGGCACTCCATGTACCCTTGTAACCACACCTCAGGTCTCTGATCATGATCTGCACTTCACTTCACGTACCGTCAGGTGACTTCAGCGTCTGGAATTTCATGTTTAGATTCGACACGTTTTACAATCCATAGAGTCTTATTTCAGAGCCTGTCTTGATTAAATCTTCAGTGGCACTGGGTGCTGTTTTACTGGTCTGTTTCAATTGCATGCTAAGATTCATCCCTGGGAGGCTTACTGTGATGGTGTTTGTTTGCTTTTTTTTTTTTTTTTTTTCAAACTAAAATAACAAATATTTAGGTTCTTCCTAGTTCTTTCTAGACTAAAATGGAGCATTAGTTGTGAAGTTTTGAGGAATAATAGTATATAGCATATGATTAAGAGAGAAATATCAGTCATGCTTATTTATCCTACTTAAATAGGTGGATTTTGATGCTCCTTTGGGGTACAAAGAACCAGAAAGAAGTGCACAACATGAAGATACCGCAGTAAGTTAAACTACTGTTTTACAAAATGCATTCACTAGTAATCTGCCTCAGTTGTGATAGAGCAGTGAGCACCAACATAATTTTTTTCCCTGAAACGCTTTGCTAAGACTAAGCTGTACTGATCAGTTGCTTTTTGCTTCGTTGATGGTTGTTTAACAACTGTTGATTTTTGGAAATATTTTTTTCTAAACTTTTGTTTGTTAAGAAGTATAAAGAACAGTTTTCATTTGTTTTTCCTATCACAACATGAACACAATGAAGTAACTTGTTTTTTCCCTCACAGGATGTTGAAGCAGACCACAGTGGATATGTGAGTGACGTAGGATTTCGTGTAAGTGCTCTATGCTCTATTCTGAGTGTTGTGAAACCATGAGGGAAGGGTGTTCCAAACAACTGCCAAATACCAGTACCTCAAAGAACTCTTATAGGTGTGGTTGTTATTAATTGGCAAGTGTCTGTAACTGTTTTGTGGTGTTTACAGCCAGAAATGGTGTGACTTGCTGTCCTTAATAGGCCAGTGTATAAGATGACTGAGACGTACACCTATAGCCAGGGCTAATCAGCTTATTATATGTACTTTGAATAGAAACATACTGAATAAAAGAAATAAAAGTGATAGTTTTTCACAGAATGCGATATCTCTGTGCAGTGTGCTTTCAGATACAAGATACCATTAAATTATAACCCTTATTTGTGTATATTTGTGTACATAGGCATTCTCTGGTTCCGGGAACAGATTGGATGGCAAGAAGAAAGGTGTTGAGCCTAGTCCATCACCAATTAAACCAGGAGATATTCGAAGGTATGTTTTTTTCAATCAGTTGTCAGCAAGTGAAGAATCTGTGTTGGAGTATTTTTTTTTATGTTCCTACAATATAAACAAGTTAATTTCCTTAAAGGTTTGCATTTAAAAATACCCAGTCTTGCTTTTTAGACTGTGACTTCCCTAACTACTTAAGGTGCAGATTCTAAGTTAATAAATATTGCAAAAACTTTCTTAACTCTGGTTCTGGAGAAGAAGATAAGAGGGAAGAGGCAGCAGGTATTGACTGGACTGGTGGGCTGGACTGAGTGATGCACAGAGTTCCTGTTAATTTTCTAATGTGAAATCTTTTTCTGAGATGAGTGGGTAACCAGTACCAAGCTGTGCGTTTTTGCAAAAGCTTCTAAATTCAGACTTAATGGAAGTGCGCAGGGATGTGTTTCTGTGTTATCATGTATGCATGTCATAATAAAATTTGAACTCTTTTGGAAAAGGGTGTCCCTGGCCCCATGGAAACCACAGGCTATGTATAAACATGCCTACAGCCAACCTCCTACATCAGCTCCAGTTTCTCATTACTTACTTTATGTACCGTATGCCTACCTTCAGGAAATAATTCAGTGGTTTAAATCTGGAATAACTTGTAATGAAAATTTTGCAGCCAGTATTGGTACAGTGTTGAAAGGCATGGGATAGGTCTCGCTGTGTTCCATATCATGTTTCACTGAAGGTAGGTGTAACATTTCTTCTTTCATAATGTATTTATGCTGCTTTTCCAGAGGAATACCCAACTATGACTTCAAGATTGGTAGAATCACGTTCATTAGAAACTCACGTCCACTCGTTAAGAAAGTTGAAGAGGTAAGTGAGGTTGGATCTTGCCAAATCTGCACAGTTAGAACATTCAAGCCATTGCCCAAATGTCTGATTTCCCTCTCCATACTTGATTTTTCCCAGAGTGCTTCTGTTAAAAAGCAGCATTAGTGAGTTTGGTTTAGTTGAAAGCAACCTCCAATGTCCTTGCTTGCTGATGTAAGATAGGACCAATATAAATTTAGTAAGTCAGAGAATACTTGTTCCAAGTAGGTGAAAGGTCACAGAAGTGCTCATGTTTTATTTCCAGGAAAAAAAGTGGGTATTATATAGAGTAAGAACGTGAAAGGTATAGAGTGTTTTGTCGCTGTGATGGAACGTTCTTTATAATGATCATTCAGCTTTGATCACGCGTAAGCAGCGAGCAAAGAGATAATCTTTTTCTTCTCTCCTTTATCCAGGATGAATCTGGAAGTCGGTTTATTGCCTTTTCAGGAGAAGGCCAGTCCCTGCGCAAAAAGGGAAGAAAGCCCTAAGTTGTGTATCCATCAGTCAGTTAGGAGGAAAATAAAATAACAATTGCAGCATAATGGATCTTAGTTATTGCAGTTGCAACACAGGAACACTGTGCTGTCACACTGTCTTAATTTTCAGTCGAAAATTAAGTTCTAGGAATTCTGAAGCGGTCCTTTGTATCTGTTGTAAAGAGGGAAAGCCTATCTTGGATGAAGCTGAGAAGGAAAACCAAGCAGTTCTACCTTACTAAAAGGTCTGATTGTTAGAGTACATCCTACCCTCTTATATCCTGAGTGATGATGGTCTCCTGTTGCTCTGTGCTTGATATTTTCCTCTATCTAAGTTTTGCCACAATTTCAGGTAAGCTTTTTGGTGTGGTGCAAATGAAGTCTAACACTTAGGCGTGCAGGGAGTCTCTTTGATCTTAGCTTCAGGTGTTGGGTTACGATGCAGCCTAAGGAATCCCAGGCTCTGACACAGACCCCTGTAATTGCTTTTTATATTTATAATTAATAACATGCCATTTAATAGTTGAGATACCGTAACCAGTTGTAGGAAACTGATGGCAGGCGTAGGGAGAGGCAGGACCTGGCTGTCTGCCCGAGGACACAGAGCCCTGCCTGCAGGAACCTGGCTTCCACCACACCCGGGGGGGGCGGGTGGCCGAGTCAAACCGCCAAACTCTGCTCTTTCCTCGGTCGCGGCTTGAATCCTGGAGTAAAGGTTCCTCGATACCCACCGTGTGCCCGCTGTGCTGATTTCCCGGCTGGGGGGGCGTGGCGGTGGCGGAACCGGGCCGAGGGCAGCCTCGAACCCGCGGCCCGGGGGGCGGGGCGGGGCGGGGCGGTCACGGGCCCGAGCGGGGGCGGGGCGGAGGCGAGGAGGAGGAGGAGGGGGAGCAGCATGGCCGGCGGCGGCAGCTGGAGGGTGAGCGGGGCCGGGGGGAACCGGAGGGCACCGAGGGGCTCGGGGGGTGCTGTAGCCGGTCCCGGCTGACTCCCCCCGGTCCCCCCGCAGCCGCCGCGGTCGTGCGAGGATTACTGGTGGGAGTGGCGGCACTGCCGCGGGCTGCGCCACGCCTTCCACCACTACTACGCGCACGGGCAGCTGCCGGCCTGCGCCCGCTGGCGGGACGATTACACCGCCTGCCGCGCCTGGGAGAGCGCCCGCGCCGCCGCCGCGCAGGTACCGCCCGGCACCGGGCCCCCCCCGCCGAACTGCCGGGTGTCCTCCTCCGTGGGGGGTCAGGGCCCAGCGCGGTGCCGCTGCTGTTTGTGCCTCTTGCAGGAAGCGCTGTGCAAGAGCGAAAGAGCCCGCGTGGAGGAGAAGCAGAAATATGCCCCGGTGTGGACCTTCAGGAAGAGCCCGCCGCCAGACTGGTACCTGCCGCTCGAGCAGGACAGCCCCAAGTGATGCGGCAGCTTCGCCAGGTTTGGGCCTTATGTGCCATACACTGCTCACCTGTCCTGCTTTTTAATTTTAACCTGCATTTCATCAAAATCACACAGCTGTAGCTCTGTCCCATACAGCTGTCCACCAGTACTTTAGCACTCACTCAAAAATACTTAAAGGTTATTTAAACACCCACTGTTGTTTTTTTTTGTTTTGTTTTGTTTTTTTTTTGTTTTTTTGCCTTTTTTTTTTACAAGTGAGGTGTTTTAGTATTTTACTACTGTCTTACGCTTCAGGATCTCATCTCAGCAACACAGCAGGAAACTCTTAAGTTAGCAGCTCCTCTTCCCCAGCACAGCTGGTGTTGCACACTGTTGGAACATCTGGGCCTGCCAGATGGGAAAATAAAACCAAGCTGGGACTCCTCCCTGCCAGTTCAGGACACAGCCACTGGCATTTAAAAGGCTCTACCCAGATTCAGTACTGTGGTTCTGAAGAGTTTCAGACACAGTGGGACAATGTTGCAGACCCTGAAACATGCCTGTTGTTGGGGAACTGCTCTCGAACAATAAAGCTTCTGTTCTTTTTAAATACGTCTATGGCAGTATTCAAATTACTACAGGAAATAAAGGTTCAAATGACTGAAGTGAGATCTGTTTTTAGGGAAAATGCTACTAGAGACTTAATGCACTCTTTACAAGGACATAATAATAATAATAAAGAAGCTAATTTTTGTTTTGGCAAGGTACATTTTCCATCAGTTTCCCCTCTATTATATTATATGCAAAACCACTGAAATTTGAAGCAGAGAAAGGCTGTACACAGTCAGCTACTGCCTCCCTGCTAGTAGCCTCTGTTGTGATGACATTCTTTCATCGTGCTAGTCTTTGTAGTTATGGTTTGTGTAGAACAAAAATGGTGCTGCTCAGGAGCACAAGGAAAGATGAGATACAAGGCCAGAAAGAGAAAACAGTGAAATACTTGTTTGCCTTGGTCTAATATGGCATAAATTTAAAGTAGATTAGCTCTGTTGAATGTTTTATTCCATATGTTGCCAGTTTAAAAACAACACCAGCAGACACTTCATGGATATTCTGTTCCATGTTTTTTTCACCATCGCATACCTACGGTGTTTTAATGTGCAGAAGGAATTAATTCTCATTCCGTTCTTTCCTTTTTCAGTTGGCTGAGCAGCTTATGCTGGATGAACAATAAACTCTTCTGTCACTGTGTGTACACTTTGGTGATATCGATGCATTTTCCTTCGGGAGGATCGTACCCAGGAAGTGGTGGGGTATAATTAGGTCCATCCCTCTCAAAGGGGAAAAGCCCCTCATCTCGTCTGATTGCTGCCTGATAGAGCTCTTCAGACTCAAGGCGCAGTTCCTTTAGTGCCTCTTGTTGGGCTTCTACAAGGCTCCGAATTGCTTGCTTTTCTGCCCTGTCTTGGCTCTGCTTATATGCAGACCACTTTTTCATAAGTAAAACTCTTCTTTCTGTCTCCTCAAATGACAGAGGGGGAAGACTTCGCACCCTGTTGGAAGAGTAAACATAGTATTCATAGTATTGTAATAGAGAAATGGCCTGCAACTGCACCCTGAAAAGCAAATTACCAAAACCAGCAAACAAACAAAATAATATGTTTTTAAAACATAACACGTTTCTTTCCTGCAATGTCTGTCTTGGAAGTTTTCCAAGGCCTTTCCAACAGGACATTCACATGACTATTTTTTCAGTATTTTTAGCAGGAGCAAATACAAATTGCTTTCTACACTGTTGTCTTAGCAGAAGTCAGTAACATTTGATATAAAGGCTGGCACTATACTGCAGATTTGCAGAGAAAGATATTAGAAGCGTGTTTGCACTACAAATGCAAGCTCACACTGACAGCGTTAGTTACCTGCTGTTATCCGAGAACTTAAGTGGTGTTTCAAAATCCTCAATTGGAATCAATTCTGGGGCAGCTTTTTCCAACTTTTTGATCTTCTTTTTCATACGATCCTTCTGTGCTTGCTCTCTCTTTACATCCACCTTCTTTTTTTTCTTTGGCTGTGCTCTGGTGAGATAAATAATTACATGAGCAGAAGAAGATGCTCTGTCGCTGCATTCAGCACAAGCAACTTTCATATCCACTTCACCATCTGAAGAACTGTTCCTTCCCAGAGCTTACTTGGTTCTTAATAGAAATTTTAGCTTTATTCAGGTAATATGATTTCTATGAGACAGTCATATGTCCTGTGAGATATTCTGCAAACAGAGCTGTACCAGCCTAAGAAGAGCAAGCTCAAGGGCTGTTCTAGAAATCACAATGCCTTAGGAAGTTCCAGAAAAGTAGAACTGGAATTGGTTCCAACTAGCTCACAGTGCAGCAGGGCACACAACACATTTACAAATATTCCTGCTATCTCACATTAAAGAAGGCTCTGAGAGGGTGGTTGTACACGTCCTTTTAAAATTTCCACCTTTGGAACCAAACTGAGGACACAGGTATTTCTCTACTGCTGTACGTAACACACAAACCCCCTGTGTGCAAGGTAACACATGCCACGCTCCACAAACACAGACGTGTAGGTTATTGTTCCTGCTTTGCAGATCGGAACTCTGAGGTACTATGTTTATAGGGTGGCCAGTAATTTATTCTGTGCCACTGCACAAACCAGCTCTGGAATGCAGAAATGCCCAGTTCGGTGTTCAGCTGTCTAGTACAGGCCACGTTATCTCCACAACACTACAAGCCTGCGGATGCACAAATAACCTTTGGGGTGTGAAATGGTCTCTCTGAGGGTAGCAGCTCGCTAGAAGGCTTTTAAACCTAATTGCATCAGAACAAAACACCAATACCAAAATGCAATGTACATTGATGTGGGCTGTCTAGCACAGCACCTTACAATAAGTATTTTTGGTTCAGCTGGGCTTTCTTTTCCAATGCTGCTCAAAAGGGAGTTTTGGAGCACAGCTTGAATCTGAACATCTCCACCTGTGTTCTGTCATTGAAGAAGCAAATACAGCTACCTACAAGCATAAAGCAATAACTATTATATAGGCTACCGTTAGGCCACTCTTGAGAGGCCACCAGCTCTAACTACTACATATAATATCTTAAGTGCAAACATCCATATTTAAAAAATAATTTGGACTTGGAAATATTTACATTCCACTAAGGATGCAAGCAATTCTACGCAACTCAGCAACAGCTGCACTCACCTCACGGGGAGGGATGCCCTGAACGCCAGCAGGGAGGTCTCCCAGTGACTTCCTCGAAGCTGCACTGTCTGGGGCAGCCAGCAACTAAAGGAGAAAAAGAAACGTAAAGAAAGCACGAGGAGAAGCTGAATTCGGTCACGTTAATTGAAACCATAAGAGATGCTTGTTAGTTGTGGGCTACAATAGTGAATTTCTAGTCTCTTAGTACTAATTTCACTACAGTACATAGCATCAGCACAGAAATGACAATGTTAAACTCTCCAGTGAGGTAACTAAACCCCAAATCTGCGCTTTTTAGTGCTGAGACCGCGCAGGGCACCGGGAGGTGAAACAAAAATTCATTTTATGCCTACGAGCGGCTTTAACTAATCTCGAGCTCAGGCAACGGCCCGAGCCCAGCCCAGCCCAACCCCAGAAGCCTGGCCGCGGGGGGGGGGGGCCCGGGCCACCGAGGGGACCCCGGGGGAGCCAGGCCCGGCCCGGGCGCAGCGGCTCCGTCCCCGAGGCCGGGGGGATGCGGCCGGGCCCTACCTGAGCGCGGCGCTGCCGGGCGCTGCCCAGGCCCGGCGGAGCCCCCGCGCCGCCGCCTGCATGGCTCCGGCCCTGCTCGCGCTCCCGGTTCCGCTCCTCCCGTGCGCTCCCGCGGCCCCACGCTCCGCCCCCCGCCGCGGCCGCTCCTCCGGGGCTCGCCGCCCTCCCCCGCGCCTCCCCGCGCTCCTCCCGCAGCCCCGTGCCCGGCAGGGGGCGCCCGCCCCGCCCCGCCCGGTCCCTCCCCGTCCCTCCCCGAGGGCGGAGCGGCGGCGAGCGGCGTCGGGCGCGCGTGAGGAACGGCGCGGCTGGGCTCGGGGGCCGCTGTTTCCCGCCGGGCCGCTTAGGCGGTTGCCAAGGCGCCGAGTTCCGGCGTTGCCGGGAGCCGCCGGGAGCCGAGCGGGGGATGCGGCCGGGCGGCGGCGGCTGCGGCACGGGCGGCGCCGGGGCATGGAGCGGCGCTGAGGCGGCGCCGGCCGGCGGCGGCGGCGGGGCCGGGCAGAGCGGGCAGAGCGGCGCGGGGCCGCGGCGGTGAGCGGCCGGCCGCTGGGAGCTCCGCACCGCGCCGCTCCGCCGCTCGGTCGGCCGAGGCAGCCCGGGGGGAGCCGCCCTGGGGTCCCGGGGGCGGAGGCCGGCGGGGGGCTCCGGGAGGGAGACAATGAAGCTCCTGAAGCCGACCTGGGTCAACCACAATGGTGAGGGGCGGCGGGGGCAGGTGGCGGGGGGCAGGTGCTGGGGGTGGGGGGTGGGGGGAGCCCCGGGAGGCCGTTGCAGGGCGGTGGGGGGGGGATTTGGGGGGGATTGAGGGGGTGTGGGGGGTCTGGGGGGGCAGCGGGTGGCTGCTGCGGCGGGACGGGGCCGCCCCGTGGTGCCGAGGAGCCGGGCAGCCAAAAGCGAAAGCCTCGAAGATGGCCGAAGGGCTCCTGCCGCCGCCGTGCGGGACGGGGCCCCCCCCCGGGTGCCGAGCTCCGGTCCCTGAGAGCCTCCGGGGCGCGGGGGGGTCCCGGCTGCAGCCCCGGGGGGGTCCCGGGGGTGCGGGGAGGCGGGAGGCTGGGGGTGAGGGGCTGGTGCTGGCAGGGCTGTGGCTGCCTCCCTGGGGTGCCCGGTGCGAGGCAGGCGGCGGTACAGCTCGCACGGCTTGGGGAGGAGCTCCCGAGGAGGTCCTGGTTCAGCAGGGAGGAGAAATCCCGTGTGAGGGGCTCGCTTCTCTTCGTGCAAGTTTTATCCTCGGGTTCACATGCACAGCTCCAGCTCAGTGCCTGGTTTTACATCATGGCAAATGTCAGTGGCACGGCTCAGGCGGCCGATTCATATCTAGCATAAGGCTGAGCGGGAGGCCAGCTTATCCAAGCTGCAGAAACGTGCTTTGAGTTAAAAACCACAGATGCAACTCTACAGCTGGCCCTGCATGCTTTATTGTCTTCGTGATCGTGCTGCAGGTTTAAGAATCATAACTTCAGCCTAAAGTTGAAACTTCCATGCATCTTTACTTGATCTACTCTCCATGGGCCATAACGAACCTGGCCTTTTAGTGGAAAGCAGTGGGGGACTGGAAAAAAAGTGGAAGTGCTTTCTCTGAAGTGTTCCTTACATTTTTACTTAGTTAATCTAAATGAATGCAACACTTGCATCTTGATCTTTGGCTGCTTGTCTGCAGGCTGTCCTCTGTCTCTCTGGAGCCTGGTTATGAGCATCTGGATAAAACCTTTGGCCTAAGTCTTTGCAGATCACAGCTTAGTAGACCTATAACTTCTCTCCTTACTTCTTTAATGTGTGTACCTTTTAGTAGGTATGTATTTGAAGCGTATGGCAGTTTTCAGTATTCTGTTCACCAGCTTGTGAATTGTAGAAAAGCATCTTCTGCCAAGCAATTTGCAGCTAAGTTCCATTTATAAAGGCTCATGATACTTTCTTTTAATGGATAATGCTGTAGACAGGGCTGTGGTAGTCCCAGATCTTGTGTTTCTGCCACTGTCCTGCTGGGATGAGTTTGGGCAAGTTGCTTTGTTTTGTAGGTGATGAAACTATGACAGACATTCATCAGTGGCTTCATTTCTAAAATGCTTTAAGGTCTGCTAACACAGGACTGCATAATATTCATGCCTTCTTACACGTGGGGCAAGGAGTGCAGAATAAAAAGGGTGAGTTTAGTCAGCCGATTTTAACATACCCGGGTTCCAGATCCTGCAGGGCTGGCTGCACAGAAGCTGTACCCATCGCTTTTCATGGGCCTACATATTTGCTCTGATACTTCTCTAGAGACAGGGTCCATACTTATGCTGCAGACTCCTTGTTGGTAGCCCTTACTCTTTTTGTTTCCCCGCTGTCAGAAGAGGTTGCTTCACTGGTGTTGGTACAGGAGCAAGCGTCCAGATCACGAGTGGCTTCTTCATGCGCGGGTTCATTGCTGCCATTCCTACCTCTTCTTCCCCCGACTCAGTTTTGGCATTTGTACGTTACTGAACTGGCAAGAACCAGTTTGATGATGCTCACAGGCATACAGTCTCTGTGAGATAGTCGACAACAGAAGTCGGTGTTGTAGCAAGTAAGTTCAATGCACCTGGGATTCTCATGCTTCTCAGCTGAGACACTGCATTTACTAGAAAAGCACTTTAGCACATTTCAGCTCTACTGGCTTTTGTCTTGGAGTTCTTAATGTTGCTTTGCGTGAGTACTTATTGGAAATAGTTCTTCTTCAAATGGATTTTCTGTAAGCTTTTCACACTATTAATGTGAGCTTATTGCATGAAATTCTAATTGTTGTGTTCATCTCCTCAGTGTTTCTTTGACTTGGAGCAGGAAAGAGTATTGATAAGTGCAGTCTAATGGGGGGGGGGCACAACTGTAAGGTGCAAGTCGTGTGGCTTGGTTCTCCTTCCATTCAGTACCTCTATCAAGATGCATCGCACATCCAACAGTTGGATGTACAGATTTGGCACACAGGTTTTTGATGACAACAAATGCTTAGCCCTACTGGAAAGGAAGTCCCATGCAGTTCCAGGAAACTCTCGCAAACCCTAAGGTGTTGTTGGTGTATAACAACTTGCAGAAATTGGAGCCTGCTTTTGTTTAAATACAGGCATAGAGTTTATTATCTCTTCAAGCTGTAATGGTGGAATGTAAATATTTAAATTGATATGTGAGTCATGGTGGATGTTGTATCTGAGACGGGCTGGAAGCAAAATAAATAGAAGCTCATTCATGTCGTGGTAAAAATTCATATGAAGTGGTCATTTTATTTTATTGATCACAGCCTGGAGTTAAAAACCGAACAAGTATATCATATGTGTTTAGGTTCTTAAAGCAAAGAATCCAACAAGGCATCTGCGCTGTCAGAAGGTGTTCTGGTTTTAATGGACCTGGTTTGCTTCCTCATGCAATGTGATGTTGGGAACTTCAATAACATCAACTAAACGTTTTAGAAACTATGACAAGAAGGAGGGGGAAAACATCTTAAAATACACTTAAAACTTAATGTTACTATTTAACCATCACTTATATTTTGTTTTGATGCTTAATTACTGGTGTGAAATTCAAAACTTCTTCGATTACAAGCATGGGACAGCATTCAGTCAGTTTTGAAGAGGGACCTGGTGCCTTGTGGTTCATTTCAGCAGGATCTAACGGCGTAATCAGATAAGGACATGGACCCGGGAAAGGAAGCAGTTGCTATTAAATAATGGCTCCTTCTTCGTTACTCTGAGAAAATGAAGGAAATGAGGAAAAACTCCATATCTGCGATCAATTTATAAACCACAAGTAGTATGGAACAAGTTTTATAGCTTTAACTTGTGACCATTATCCACCACTGTAAATGGCATTGCCTTGATAGCTGTGAAAGGGAGGAAAAGGCTCCCAGATAATGACTGCATCTTGTTGAATTTCTGTCTTGTAATCACGTAATCTTTCCTCTCTCTTCTTAAAATCATTTTAAATCTCTTGATTGATAAAACTGAAAACAAAAGCCTTGGCTTACTTGTGCTGACAGCCTAATGATTGTTGAACTTAACATCTGTATTTAAGGGATATAGAAAGGCATTAAGGTATTGAACAAACATTGATTTAAAAACATTACAGAATTCCTTTTAGATATTAAAAGAATTGATATAAATTTGTAAGTGTAGCCTTACTAGCTATTCCCTTTTTCAAGACCACATAATCTAATTTAATCAAGACAAGCCCTGTGCTTCTTGACAGCCAAGAAGCTGTGAGCACACGCAGCTCTGGGACAGGTTGCTGGAGGATTTTCCTTCCCAGGCCAGTGCGTTTCAGCTCAGTGCCCCTTGCCAGTAACGTGGAAACTTTGAATTGCCACTGAGAACTCCACATGTGTTCACCTAGTTCTGAACTCGTGAGTATGTCCGTACCAAAAGTGATGTGAAAATTCATGTGATCTTTGAGCTAAATAGGAAACAGATTCATTTGTGGCAGCGATGTGCTGCTTTCTGTAGTAAAGCTACAGCTTCTGCCTGGGGGTTAGCCACGGGGTCCAAGTTAGGTGCTGTCCAGCTTGGCTTATAGTACTGTGAGTCTCCTCACTTTCTGGTGCTGAAACACGTGGTGCTGCTGCCTGACAAATGGATGAGAATGATCCTTTTCACGCAGGTGGTAGAAGCTCAGGCTTCTGCATCCAGGAGCTTCTGTTCCCTGCGGACATCCAGAGGTGGCTGTTCGTGCTCACCCAGCAGAGCCAGGAGCGAAGTCCTGGTGCCCCATAGGCCTGAGGTGGTTCACCAGTGGTTGCTTTCCTCTCGGGGTTGCTCGTCACAGCTTAAGCTTATGCCTTCATCCACTTTTTAAAAGTTACAGCTGAACTGGATGAGCACACATGAAAGTGGTGTGGCCAAAAGCTGTGGGCTCCAAACAGTTGAGCAGGGCTTGTTTAGTTACGTTACCCCTCATCTTGAATCCAAAGCAGTTTGAAATAAAATCCAGATTGGGCTCTAAATAATATTTTGTCCATATCCAGACAATGTAATTATTCTGCTGTGCCAGTATGTGACATGGTCTTTTGCAGTTGGTGTTTGTATTTTGACTAATGCAAAATGTCTGTTAAGGAGAGGGTGTGACAGGCCGAGGCTGTGTGTAGTTGGACAGATTTCCTGTATATGGTAAATGAAAGCATCTTATTTGTAGGAACTCTTGAGAAACCTGGAACTGCA